CSAAAWTTTTAGTAAAATCCCGAAATTTTATTTCTATCCCTAAAAAGCGTCAAACTCGGCGGGCTTATATAAGTATTGATCCTTAATATATATGAACTAAGAAAGAAAATTTAACTTAACTAAATATATTTAAAATTTATAATTAAAAAAAATACAAAAGAATTCCCTAGAAGGAGAAGGGAAAGATATGTTGCGGTAACCTGGTTTCAGGTGAACCTACTAGCTTGTTCTCGAAGGCGTGAGAAAAGCGACGCGAAATTTCAGTCGTTAATCTACACTTTCCGCTTGCCGCGCTCTCTCTAGCCGCCAGTTGAATGTGGCCGCGGGTGCAAGTAGAGGTCTATGGGGCTACCATTGACTGGGACTTAGAGCCCCCTGAACTCATAGAGGGGGATCTGGTCGAGCTCACGATCCCCGGACGCAGCATTCGACACGCTGACGGCCAGTTTGCGTGGAGGTCCATAATCCTGTCCGAGGACGTGTGGCTTTGGACGTACAGAGAGCACCGGCCGGGGCAAGGAGTGAGCGTAGTGAGAGCCTACTTATATTTGGGACCGGGTGAGGTCAGGGAGGCCGTGGTGGGCCTCACGAGGACAGGGATTAGTGACGCAGTTAGCAGAGCATTACGCTACCTAGGGGAAGAGGTGGCTGCTTTCCGAGCGGAGGATGCGAGCGACCCGTTGACCCTATTTCACGGACGCCCTCCTCTGGATATCACGGGCGAGCTCATAATAGCACAGGAGGAGTTTTTCCCGTACAGCGTTAGGAGCCTGCGGGCGATAGTTCCGACGTTCGTAGTAGAGAGCATCTTTGGAGGTATTGGTGGAGTGGTCGAGACATACCTGGCCTATCAGGATCTCAAGATCCTGGCGAGAAGGCCTGCCGACCTAGACTGCATCTATTATTCGCTTGCGACCGGTGGACCTCGTTGGGGAGACGAGAGGGTTCAGCTTATAGAGCTGATCCGCTCGATAGACGACGAGTGGCCCTAGTCTCCGTGCGTATGGGATTGGCTAGACCGTGAGCTCCGAGCAGGCCCCGAGTACATGACTTGCATCGGGCGGCTCTTCTCAGACGACTGGGGGAGCTGGTGGAGTGAAGACGCCGGACGACCTCTGATATACGGCCATCAGTTGACGGAATACTACCAGGCCATAGGACAGGCGCCATACCGCGTCGAGGACGAGTTTGACGACGAGGGTTGGAAGCAAGAGGACGACGAGGAGTTGTGGGAGCCAGACTGGGTCGACCCAGAGAGTGAGGTTGACGAGGAGGAGATAGACGTTATAGACGCCCATTTTCCCAGGATAGGAGTAGCGGTCCGGGCGTAAGAGGTAGAGGAGCGCATGAGGGCGACGGTTGAGTGAGCATGGCTACTGAACCTATTCGGCCATATGGGACCTGAGAGCGAGAGTTGTCTGAAGGGTTAGCAACGTCGGAAGATGGGGTGCATCGGAGGGAGTAGAGTGAAACTGACCGAGAGTGGGAGAAGAAATGAGGAGTGATTCAGCGGCCTGGTTAGCTTATGTTCTCACACGAGAGTCTGAATCGTATAGTGTGAGGAAGCTTGTGGGACCCAGAGAGACGGCGGTTGGGTACGACGTACCACTTCCTGTGACATTAGAAGAGGCAGGGCGTGTACCGACACGATACTTGGGAATGTGGCTCGCAAAGGGGCTCTTCCTATGGACACTGATAATACGTGACGAACGACCCGAGAGGACTCATGAACTGGAAGGGATCGGACATCTAATAGCGGATAGAACACACAATTTAGAGATAGGGCTAACGCTCGCAGGGGCAAGCAGGAGTTGGTGGAGAACAGAGTTGTTGGCCAAAGTGATCGTTAATCAGCAATTGGCGAGACTCTCCGGAGGGAGGACGAGTAGGAGCTGCTTGGTATACGGTCCACCACATCCGACCCTCTACCCGAGAAAGGATTGACGATTCGGACTTCCTACCTTCGTAATAGGGCAGACCTATGGGAGCGTGGATCGTTTGAGTAGAGCTGTAGACCACACACTTTACGCGCTCTGGGAGGGCTTAGCGCCCCGCTTCAACGAAGTATACTACGCCATTTGTGTGAGGTGGGGGCCGCCCAGTAGAGAGACGCTTGACGACATCATAGATGTTACGAGCTGGGTGGACTGTCTGAGGCCTATCGATTTGATTAGGTACTGTAGGAGACGGGAAGAGATCGATTACGCGGGACTAGAGGACGCGAGATTTCTCTTCGAGGTCGCAGCTTAAGGAATGCCGGGAAGGACGCCCACGGTGATGCGTGTAGAAGAGCAACTGGTGAGCACATGATACACTGTGACAGTACTTCTCCGAGCGTACATAGACGAGGACTTGACGGCGAGTGAGTGCAGACAACGAGCTAGGGATTTGATCCACGARCGTAGAGCTGATGTACTGGCGCGAGTGACCTTCCAGACCTCGATTACCTATGATGTGATGATATGGTCTCATGGTTATATGCGCGCGGAGCACTACCTCGATGAGACGGTAGCGGAGGCTAAAGCGAGGGTGAGAGGGTGAGCTGGAGAAAGATGTGGACTGAGTATGGAAGGGGAGAGTGAGGCAGTCGGAAGAGTGAGAAAGCGCATTAAAGAACCACTCTTGAACCAGGTAAAGAAGTTGGGGGACAAGTTAAGAGAGATCTGGTCGTGTCAAGACGAGGGCCAGTTGCGTAGGGCTGAACTCGTGGCGAGAGAGTTAGAGAGTCTGTTTAGTGAGGAAAGAGAGATTATCCAGGCGTGGAGATCAAATTTTTTGGAGAGGGTAAAGGCTAGAAGCGTATCACACGAAGAAACTAGTAAGCGATCTGCAGAGAGCAAGACAACGGAAGACAAAGTAACGCAGGGAAGTATCGACAGGACATGAGCGGGACAGCAGTGCACACGACGGATCGGTACTCATTGCATGTGGTAGGGAGATTGGACGGACCATTGGTGTTAATGATCGTAGAGCTCCAACTCCATACCAGACTGTGCATAGTTGAGGAGGCAGAGTGTGTCCACCGTGCCCTGCGCGAGGCAAGGGGGACAGGACTTTGGATTGGAATAGAAGGAGGACGGAGGATTAAATATGTGCTCCAAGTGACACCTTTCGAAGGGCAGTCTAGGATAAGGGCATGGTACGAGACGACAAAAGAGCCGCAGAGGTTGAAGATAACCGAAGCTAGGAAAGCTGGAGAGTTAGGGAGAGTAGTAATAGATGGAGCAATACTCAGGGTGTTAGCCGCTCACAACCGATACTGGAAGGAAACGATGAAGACTTTAGAGGCGATAGACGAAGGAGGAGATAGTGAGGACTTTGAGACATTTTATGACATATTGGAGCGGTCGGCGATGAGGTTACAAGTCCTTATAGCACTAGCTTACCTCAACTGTTAGGCAGATGACCTCGTAACCGTTGAGGAGATAAGGTAGCGGAAATAGAAATTGGAAACTCTTGGAAGGATAGAGGAAGCTAGAAAGGTCGATGGGCGACATTGGGCGACAGTAGGAGGGCCTTTAGCGGGCTAACCGATTCAGGCAGGGCTAGGAGAACTAGCAAGGAGGACGGAGAGAGACGCTCGGGGACTCTTGAGGAGTGTTGATCAGGAGACATTGGCTAGGTTTGGGATTGCAATCTGTCTCAAGGATAGAGATCAAGGCAGTCGAGAGCTAAGATTGGAGGCAGACGTGAGTCGTGACAAAGAAACAGGTCCGGACTGCCGCGACTATCACGGGTCCGGGCTGCAGCGACTGTCATAGGGTCGGGCTGTAACAGTTGGCTAGAAACCTAACTGCGTCTTCAGGCGGGCCAATGGAACCCGACACGATGGGGCCACAACCGACCGTGGGCGAAGCGGGAGAGGAGTACAGGGCATCGCCCGATCATGCACTGAGGATCTGAAGGAACGAATTAAGCAAGAAGCACCGCTGAGATGAGCCGACCAAACCAATGACGGAGGACCCGACATGAGAGGCGAAGCCGTTGCGACAGAGCTGCAGGAGGCTCTAAAGACGGGTACTTAGAGCGGACGACGAGAAGCGACGAGGCGGCGCTCCCCCGAGTACGAGCGGAGGGACACCATAGCGGATAGGCACAGAGACGACTGGAGAGAGAGTTTGAGGGATTCCTATTGGAGGGACAGAGATAGAGGCAGGGCGCCGCCTAGGGGAGTCACATCCGCTCCCTTACGAGAGCAAGGACCGCTATATTATTACGCACAAACTCTCAGAGCCTCCTACCTTCAGGGGCTATGGTATCACTGAATATCTGGAGAAGTGGGAGCTTCACGCCGGCCGGAGTCAGTGGTCAGAGAAAGAGATTATAGAGAACTTCCTATTTAATGTGGACCCAAGTCTTTGTAGGGAAGTTAAGGAAGTTCGACCGAAGGATGAAAAATGGACTACGTACAAGAAGAACCTCGTTGAGCTTAACAAATTGGAGGATAACAAGTATTCCATCAAGGACCTTGAAACAATGACTCAAGATGAAGATGAGAGCGTATGGGCATTTGGGATGCGTTTCCAAAAGATCTCCGACGTGCTGATGAAGAAGGGAAAGATCTCAGAGCTCGAGCGCTGTACTATCTTCATCGGACACTTGTCCAAAGGTAGGCAAAAGAGTATACTTAGAGATCTTCCACGCGACAGGCTTCATTTCCCAGAAGTTCTAAAGCTCGCGATAAAGGCAGAGGCAGACGATTACAAGGACTTGGTGTGGAGAGCGATGAGGAGACGTGACTTCTCTCCCTACAAGGAGTATGCCACTGATAGATGTCTTGATTTCAAGGATTATCCCTGGTCGGAGAAGAATGAGGCCGTGGCTGAGGAAGTGAAGGAGATAAGGGACATGGTGAAGGGATTAACGAGACAAGTTACAGAGATTGTGACTGCCACAGGGGTCACGGCCTACCGGGACAAACCTGGAGGGCCCTATTCACTTCGCTGGGATCGTTGTTCGGACCGTAGGAACAACGATCCCTGGAGGAGTATCGAGGATAGAAATCGTCGGACGCTGATTGATTATCGAACGAGGGGAAGAGAGAGAGACGATGAGCCATGGCGACGTAGGGACGATGAGATAGACCGAGACCGCAGAGATCGCGAGCCGTTTGTGCGAGCAAGGAGGCTGGATGATTACCCGCGAAGTCCTCGCTATGAGGCCGATCGGGGTAGAGGCGATTCCCGCGGCCGATGGGAGACAGAACAGAGCCGACGAGATGGATATAGGGACGACAGATATGAGAGATCGGACCGAGATGGATATAGGGACGACAGATACGAGAGGCCGGGTCGAGATGGCTACAGAGGAAGTAGATATGAGAGAGGAGATCGGGACTGGGAACGACAAGATGGGTCGCGCGGACGGTTTGAGCGCGGGGGCGATGCGAGAGAGCAGCGCGACGAGTCGCGGGGGTGGTACAACCGAGGGGACCGACGCGATGAGTCACGAGGACGATATAACTCCGGGGACCGCTGGGATGATTCGCGAGGGCGGTATGAGCAAGGAGGGTTTGGAGGAGACCGGCGCAACGATCCGCGCGGTCGGAATGAGAGAGGGGGATATGGTGTCTTATCAGAACCATATCCCAAGTTTCCTGACCCCAAGGCGGCCAGGAGTTCGATCTCTAGAGGCGCAGACGATAGGGCATCCACTCCTAGGAACTCATGCGTCTACTGTAGAGGAGAAGATCATATCAAGAGGGATTGTCCGGACCTTAAATAGGCAATAGAAGAGGGACTTGTCGTGCTTGACGACCGTAAGTACGTCAAGTGGGAAGATGATCTTGGAGATGTATCGATGTTCCCTTCGATGAAGGAGAATGTCGAAGCAAGGAGAATAAAGACGAGTAAAGGAATGGAGCCGGTCAGGAGCCAGAGCATCAAGATAACCTTTGAGGGGGACATGGCGGCCACACCCATAAGGGTGGCAGCCACCAAGTCGGCGAGAGGGTCTACATCGAAGAAAACTGACACGGATTACGTGATGGCGGAGAAAGACGGGCAGCGGGTCGATGGAGAGGAGGTTATCCTTTCGCCGCGGAAGCGGGGAGTGAAGAAGTTCTTAATGAAGAGTTCGTTGGACGAGATTGACACAGTCGAGCCACTGAGGCGGGCCCTTCGGCAACCCATGCAGTGCTCTATTCTGGAGTACCTGGCGGCATCGAAGCCGGCTCGTGATGAGTTACAGATGATCACGCGGAAGACTCGCATACCTCTATCGGAGGAGGGTCAGGGGGSCCCTAAGGCGGAAGCTTCTACAGTAGCAGTAACGGGGGTGACTGCCAGAGCGGATCGCATGGCGATAGTCCTTCTCGATGGAATGGAAGGTGTGCCTCCAGACAAGTTTTATATACTTGGTAGCGGGGCCGTGGAGACGATTATAAACGATGGAGCGGTACTCGATGCTGTGATTGATAACGGCAGTGAGGCTGTCATCATAGATGAGGACCTGGCGGTACAAGTTGGACTGGGCCTCGATAGGTCATACCTATTCGAGAAAGAGACGGCTGATGGGAGAAAGCAACAGATGACTAGGGTTTGTCACAAGGCAGCCATAGAGGTCCAAGGGGTACGAGTGACCCTGCCTGTCTTTGCAGTCAAGAACAGCAGCTCCGACCTGCTCTTGGGTCGAACGTGGCTCAGCCACGTGCATGCGGTGACGATAGAGCGACCAGATAGGAACCAAACATTGTCCATTAAGAAGCCAGACGGGACGCGAGTAATAATTGAGACAGTGGAGCCTCGGGACCCGAGGAACAGAGCAGCTCTCGCTGCGGGTGCAAGACCCAGTGAACAGATTAAGTCGTTCTCTATCTCCAGCCGTGCGGTGCGATTTCGCGAGAAGAAATATGGACCACTGCTCACAGAGGAAGAAGGACGGATGGTGGAGGTCGAAGACTTAGGGAGTCGGCTAATAGTGGACGGCACCTCGTACCCAAAGGAAAAAGATGAGGAATTTGGCGGTGTGGTATCCGTGTCTTTTTTAAGGGCACGGGCCCCTATAGGGGGCGACCCAAACGACACAAACGAGTAGCGCAAAAAGTTAAGCCAGCGGCGGTGGGCCGCGAGCGATCTGCACTGGAGGGGATATCGGAAGAAGAGATCGCAAAAGAAATCAAAGAAAGAAAGAAAAASGAGCCGCAACGCCTAACGGAAGAGAGAATAGCATTGATGGACATCGGAGATGGAAATTTGACCCCACAGGAGCGAGAACGTGTGATAGAAATCCTGAAGACATGTGATAAGGCAATAGCTTTCAGCGACGCGGAACGCGGTAGGATTGACCCTAGATGCTCTAAGCCAGCAAGGATTTACACGATACCACATGTTCCCTGGAACGACGCGGGATAAGTACGCCCAGAAGGAGAAGGAATAAGTTATCGCTTTCCTGAAAGAAAAGATGGTTTCCCACGTTGCAGAGCCGTTTGATAGCGCTTATGCAAATCGATGGTTCTTCCTACGAAAGCCGAATGGCAAGATCCGATGGATCCAGGACCTTCAGAAGGTCAACGCGGTGACGATACGAGACGTGGGCTCCGTGCCACACGCCGATTTACTGGCAGAAGGCGCAGCAGGTAGGTCGATCTATTCGGTCTGTGATCTGTTYTCAGGCTATGATGAGGTACCGCTTGACCCTAGGGACAGACACCTCACGGCTATGCATACGCCATTGGGACTGATTCAAATGATGGTTGTCCCTATGGGATGGACTAATGGGGTAGCCGTTTTTCAGAGAGCCATGATAGCCGTCCTCAAGGACTTCATCCCTGATAAGGTTGAAGTTTTCCTGGATGACTTTCCTATAAAAGGGTCAGTAGAGAGGGATGAGACAGAGGTTATACCTGGAGTTAGAAGATTCGTCGAGCAGCACCTAACAGACATTTGCGCGGTACTCGAGCAGCTGGACGATTCGAATTTGACAGTCAGCGGGACCAAGAGCCGATGGGCCGTCTCGACTATTAAGATCTTGGGCTTTATATGTGACTTGAGAGGACGCCGAGCAGACCCGGCGAAGTTAGACAAACTCCTGAACTGGCCGTCACCGTTACATAGCGCAACCGAGGTCCGGCAGTTTCTGGGAATGGTCGGTTACTGACGCATATTCATACGGGGGTATGCGGAAAAGGCTGAGCCATTGAGGTTACTCCTACGAAAGACTGAGAACTTCTATTGGAATTCTTCGCAGAAACTTGCTATGCAAGAACTTAAAGACGAATTTAAGGAAGGAGGACGCGTGTTGGGTGTGCCATTCTTTGATGATGAGACCGAGAGACCCTTCATAGTATCCACGGATGCTGGACCATATTCAGTAGGTGGTTTGCTATCTCAGAAGGACGCTGGAGGGAGGGAAAGACCGTTAAGATTTGAGAGTAGGACACTTAATACGGCTGAGCGTAACTACAATCAATTCAAGAAAGAAGTGTTAGCTGTTCTCCGGTGTCTAGACACGTTCAGACACTATATCCATGGGCGACGGTTGCCTCTGTCCTCCAGAAGGACTTTAGTCTGCGGTGGAGGACAGAGGCAACTGCGGTGGAGGACAGAGGCAACTGTGTCTGTCCTCCACCGCAGTTGCCTCTGTCCTCCACCGCAGTTGCCTCTGTCCTCCACCGCAGTTGCCTCTGTCCTCCACCGCAGTTGCCTCTGTCCTCCAGAAGGATTTTAGTCTGACGGACCCGACCATCGCCCGATGGTTAATGCGGATTCGGCTATACGATCACACGGTCGAAAGAGTATCCGGTACGAAAAATGCCGTGGCAGATGGACTTTCACGTATCCCTCTCGAGCGTCCGATAGTGGCTGGGGCTCTGACAATGGCAGAGCCGAGACGCACCGAGAGATTTCTAGTTAATCTTTACGAGGGCAAGTACCGAATGATCGGACTACACCTGACGGGAGAAGAGAGTCAAGATTCAGATATCCGGAGGCAAGCAGCCCAGTACTGCCTTAGAGCGAGCCACCTTTTCCGAAGACCAGTAGGGTTGGGAATGCCCTTACGAGTAGTCTGTGACCCTGAGGAGACACAGACAATAGTTGCGGAGCTTCACGACGGGGTAGTTGGAGGACATAAGGGAGTCAAAGGAACCTACGAAAAGGTACGCAGGTTGTACTGGTGGGAAGGACAGTATAAGGACGTCGAGAGGTGTTGTAGGACCTGCGAAGAGTGCCTGAAGAGAGATCTTGTGAAATACAAAGAGCCACATCATCCATCCTATCCAACCCAACCAGGAGAGAAGGTACACATCGATCTAGTGAAAATGCCGAGAGGGGAAGGGAATATGAACTACGTCGTGAACATACGAGACGATTTCACTGGGTTCGTGGACGGTAGACCTATCAGGAGTAAGGCGGCAAAGGAAGTAAAGAACTTTGTCCTGGAGAACTTATCTAGGTATGGTTGTGTTAGCAAGATAGTGATGGACAGAGGGGCGGAATTCCTAGCCGACGAGGTCCAGAGCGTGTTTAGGAGAGCCGGTGCTAGAGTTTCGATAGCCACCACCTATCACCCACAGTCGAACTCCCCAGTAGAGAGGGGACACCAAACTCTGATAGCGTCACTGTCCAAGTGGTGCAAGGGTAAGGACAGTGATTGGCCACGATATTTTCGATACGCAATATGGGCGGACAACGTCACGGTCCGGGCTAGTACCGGATACCCACCGTACACCTTGTGGTTTGGGCGACATTGTCCGCTTCCCATAGAGTTTCACGTCGACAGCTGGACAACCGTCGACTGGGCAGAGGAGATGTCAAGAGAGGAACTCTTAGCTGCCCGAACAAGACAGATAGCCTACGGGTTGGAAGATAACCTCATGACACTAGCCGATCGTCTGGCGGCGGAAAGGAACAAGGGTAAAGAAAGATGGAATAAGAACGTGAGAATCAGGAAGGAGAGGGTGAGTGTATGAGATATGGTCCTTCTTTACGACGCAGCGCTGGAAAGAACCTGGACCGGAAAACTCGCCAACAGATGGATGGGACCCTACAGAGTGGTTGAGGCACTCGACTGGGGTGTATATATGATAGCAGAATTGGATGGATCTAAGTGGAAGGACCCAGTGGCGGGCGCTAGGTTAAAACTGTTTAGGCCCAGGGCCGAGCCCGCTTTATCGCTGACGGGCCCCAAAGGAAAGGGGAAGGCTAAGATGGAGGATGGAAATCCCTTGAGACGATTTAAAGCAGGCGAAAGCTCCAAGAAGAGAAAAAGAGTAGAGAAAAGAAAGGTCAAAGGGTTAGCTTTAGGAAGAAAGAAGAGATGGTTATTCGTGCTCAAGCGAGCTAGACGGAGAGTTCAGGTTAGACGTACTGGCGGGTCGACACCCTTCTCGGGGCAAAGACAGAAGAGAAAGAGGATCGTGCCGGGACCAAAAACCAGAAGAAATAGGAGAGTCAAGAAGCATCTTCTTAGCCCCAGGACTCATAACAAACTGAAACATAAGACAATTGAACGCCGACGTGGGCGTCCTTTACAGGCTATCACCCTGAAGCTCATCCGCTTCGTCTGACATGAGTTGCTAGGGCCTGACGGGGCGTCGAGAAGTGGTCCGGGCTAACTGTCAGGCGGCTACAAACAGTGCGCCGCCTGAAATCTATGGTTTTGGGACTTAGGCGCGAAGACGAGTCTGAGTTTTGACGGTACTCTGGTTAGACCAGGCAACGGAGATTAGGGGAGCTCAGGGCGCCCTTGATTTTGGGCGCGCTGAACCTTACGGGTAACCCTCAGAGACGGCAAGATGGGTGGTCGCACTCGGCACTACAACASACCGTCATTTYCGGCCGTTCGGAGGGTTAGACCTGGATTGGYCGGCCGCGGAGAGGCATCGCGGGAACTGACCTCGCARCCACAATCTTTGYGGTATACGACCGGGGCCRAAATGAGGCCTCAAATTTTTGACTATTTTAGTACCATAATTAAAGATGGGAAAAAGGGATTACGACCAGTAAGGGAGAAGGGAAAAACATAATATCCTTTAATTTCTCTATTTTTAATGGCATTAAATTCAAGGGGGAATACCCCTTTTATTTTAAGTTCCCGGCAATGGAATTAAAAACATAGAAAAAGATTGTAAAGGTCAAAAGAGAAAAGAAACAAAAGAAGTTCGGCCATTTATTTAAACTTTCTCGGAATTTTATTTTAGGGATCTTACGGTTAATTCACTGTTTCCAACAATAGAATTAAGGAAAGGGGAGAATGATGAAAAATGATGAAAGGGACGGGAACACATGATTATTAGGAGATTGGCCTAATTTCGCCTCGATTACCCGCCATCAGCTCTGTCTCCGGATTGATCATTTTCCCCGGATTTTAACTAGTTAAYACTACTGCCGATGGTTGAGGTTTCCTGMGACGCTTTCCCTGGTGTGCTTGATTACTAACATTACCGCGGTTGGGATGTTCTGAGAGCAGGAGTCGCATAGGCAGCATGTCGTGGTGCTGCCTTGGGTCGACTATGGTGTTGGGTTCGGTACGGATACGAGGGTCGTTACGGAGTGACTACGTCCTACGGTGTCTGACGTGCTTCAGGTACTGTATCTATCGCGGTATACCGGCATTGTACGGTATTCGTCACGGGCCAGACATGGTAAAGGTTCAGGCTGCTGCGGTTCAGATTGGTTATTCCAGGTTCGGCATTGGTATAGTGACGGCGCAGGCCTTAACTGTTCATGGCAACTATTTCAGGTGCCACTAGTGGGTTAGCACGTCTGCCGGCCCCTGAGGCTCGGTACAATCAATCTGGGTACGGTCACGGCGCAGATACATTTCGGGGCAGGCTCTGTACTATCACGGCGCGTCTGCKTGGTACGGTATTCGGCATCAAGCTGRCAGGATGACTGGACAGGCTGCTATTCAGGTTCGGAATGGGTTCGGTATGATGCTGGTTCGGGGAAGRYACGGCGCGGCCACRCTTGGTTCGGGGCTTGTACGGGGTTGACACRATATTGGCGRCATSGTACGATATCCTTCATTGATTTGATACGGCCGCTGGATCGGAACAGGCAMGTGCCCGATTTGGGACAGGTACGGTGGGRAACGGGCCACAATATAATTTGATCCTACAAGGTTGGMAAGWTCTGAGTTTTCACTGTTTTTGGTACACTTATTTCCGGCCACRGTCACTRAGATAACAATGGTGGCTGGTGAGGGACATTGCAGTCTGGGGCTGTTATTTCGTGGTGCAATACTTGACTGCCGGGCCTAARCCGCGGCACTAACGRAAAAATCGCTGCTGAAGGAAAGTACCGCGTATCTGTRGGCTTGGTACCGCTRAWACCAATGGGCCGCTGTCCTATTTCGAGCTAGGTACTAGAGGCTCAGRAGGGCRGCGTWCCTTACTGGTACYTGCAGTAAAGRCCACGGATATAKAAAGAGTAATGGGCCAGRGGRAGTGTGATTCGGACGGGGGCGGACTCCACAGTGAGCCGGGTGTACACCGCCCWCATCGGAGCTCACAGAGAGGATCAGGTTGGGCTGTCRGAGCAGCGTTCCTGGCGTCTGCAGCTTGCTCCTTCATGCAGCCCGACTGGAAAAGAAGAGCAGGCAGGCGGCGGTGGGGTGGTGTGTGCAAGGCGTACCCGCAAAACCTGGCTCAACGTGGAAGCATCGAGGTGCAGACTGTT